AAAAAAGAGCCTTATATTTGACTAAATTTAAATGCAGTCCAAAACTAGATTAAAACTAAGCTATGATATTAGAAATCAGGGGAGAAGTTACCCTTGGGGCAGGAATTATGACTGTAAGGTTAAGTGTCCAGGGGATGGTAATGTTTTGTTTGATTTGAAGGCTGCCTACCTGTCTGTGACTACTCCATGTTGTATGCTTCTGATCTGTAAACAGTGTGTTAATTCAATAACCAGTTCAAAGAAGTAAAGCAACAAGACCAGAAGGAAAAAATATACTAAAATTGTATAGCACAAGTGCTGCTACCTGCAGGGAGAAAATTTCATTCAATGTGACCAGAGAGAGAACCACATGAAAAGCTCAATGAGAAGCTTCATTTCCTAAGTTCTGCTTCTGAAATTTGTTCTATTTTTATAACTTCCTCTCTCACATGAAACTATGGCTCTAAATTAATATAAAATATTGCTTTAAATAAAATATTAAAATGTTGTTGGAAAACATTGGTGGCTATCTCAGGATGATTCACTTGGAATACAAAGTTTCTAAATAGATACATCTGGTCAGCATCAACCCAATTACCAGCACACTGATGCAATGACTTGGGTAATGACCACATCTCTGCCCAGTTCCCTGCTGTACAGATTGGATTCTGCTGGGAAAGGCCATGCAGGTGGAGAAAGACGTTCAAGAAAACTGTACTACAGACAACTCCAAGGAAACGCTAGGAAAACACTGACTCGTCCTTGGGACTGCATGTGGCTCACCTGTGAATTTGTTTCAGCACATTTTTGTCTGCCTGAAGTAATACAACTAGCTGGAAGATCAGTGATTTCTTTCTCCTTCTCAATGTTCTGTAATCCCTCTCTGATGAATAAGGTAAACTGCATGATTGGTCCTTTTGATACTCATAAACAGTGATAGTATACAAACTTGCAAGTGTACTATACAAACCTGCATCAGTAATTATACTGCCACATCACTTAAGGTAATCAGAAGCACAGATTGCTTGTTTTTACCCAAAACTTTATAAGAACTTCAGTCATTACTGCTATAGGGCCCCTTTGGTCCTACAGCCTGGCAGACAGGCATTGGAAGTTTGCCCAAATGTGGGGGGACTAAGTCAATACTGTTATCTGTAGAATCATTAGCACTTAGATAAAATATATTTCCAGTCTTTGAAAGGAGAAGTAGCTTTTAGAGGGGGTGAGGAGCAGTATTAAGCATTCAGTCCCTGCACATTATGTGAGATCAAACTAGTGATTCAACAGTAAGGCAGACAAGGTTTCCAGGATAAATATCAATTAGTAGCCCATTCTTAGGCTGTCTACAGACATGAAGGGTACCTCAATTCTAATCATTTAATCCTTTTTCCTCAACTAAAAAAGATCTTATTCTTTAATTTCTACTTCCTAATTGAAAGTTCTCCCTACCTCAGCCTTGTTTTAAATACTTACCCTTCTAAGCTTAAATTTTCCTTGCAATCCAGTGCCCAGTATTCCACTTCCACCTTTCTCTCAAATTATCCCTTTAACTTGTCTCTGCTTATTTTTTATAGGCCCCCAAAGCTTCTCCAGGATAGTGTGCAATTGAAAAAGCCCTCTCAACTACCCTCCACATCAAAGTTTAACCACAGAAGCCAACAATACCATTTTTCCTTCTTGAGTTTAGGGAAGATACATTATAACTAAAATTTCGCTCCTTATAAAATTCCTTCATTAAATCTTTCCCATTCCTCCTCTATTTTATACACAATTATAATGTAGCAAACTTCCAAAATGTGTAATTACACAATCATACAAAGACTTCCTGAAAATATGTAATTGTAAGGTCACAACAGATACCTTTTATAATTCTGGTGTTGGGAGTACAGGTTAAACTTTTTTTCTTATAAGTTGTGTTTGTTGTTTCTTGTTAGAGTGGGAAGGAGGTAAATACAGTAGAGAGTTGAGAATCATCACTTAAGGACCAACTGCTACACCTGAAACCACAAACTTATTACAGCAGGATTCTACTGAAGAGTATAAACACACCTAAAACTTTTTTCCCCTGTAAAAGAAGAAAATTGGAATGGCATAAATGAAAGCAAAGCCACTAACTTTGCCCACAAGGACACACAATTCCCGTTTTCCCACTCAAAGAAATAGGCTTCATGTCCCAGACTGGAGCATTAGGTTTGTGTTAAAGAATAAGAAAAAAAATAATCTCTACATACATGCAGAAAGCTTTCTATCCTTTAGAAAATATAAAGTATAGTAAAAAGGCTCTGAAGAAAGCTCATGAAATTTGGTTCTCAATTCAGAAAACTACCTAAGGGGTAATTTGTGAATGCCATCTGGGACCCAGGCAGCCTCATCAACAAAAGGGAAAACTTGTTGAGATCATCTAAACCTAAAATTCACATACATTTCTACATCTGGACTGAATTAATCTTTTCTTGGTACTGGCTTTCATGTAATAAAATAATTGTTTGCAGATTTTTCTAAAAACTCAAAGTTTTAGAAATAAAAAATGTGCAACATCCAAGTTGAAAACTACAAAGAATCCCATTATCAAAGTTAGTTGTGAGATAGGACTCATTTACACTAAACTCTAAACCTGCCAGCTCAGTCAAAAACAATTCTGCTTGAAACTTTCATTCCAAACATCTGCCACAAAAGTCTACACAGTCTATTATGTCATAAGTTCTGAAAGCCAAAAGCTTTATAAGCATAGTTAAACATGGCGGGGGCGGGGAGGGGGGGGTCTAGCAATTAGAAAAAACTTTACAACACCCCCGAATTCAGCAAGCCCAGCTGAAAGAGTTTTTAAGGAACTTGTAGCTCAAAACTGTTACTTAGCACATTGGCATTTTGTTTTCAAAAGCAGTGTCTTTATCTGGGTCTATGTTGTTTTCAGGCATTTTCTCGTAAAGCCTGGGGCATTTCAAACCTTCAAGTTCAAATTGCATACTTGAGGCTCTTATCTTAACCCCCTCCATGATCCCCCAAAAAGGAGTTGTAAAGATTTCCTTTCCCTTAAAATGTTTTGAGCACTGCACGAATTGCTTATTGCTACAGCTCCTCAGTGTCAGATCCCAGGGATTCTTACAAGCAATTCAAAGGAGAGGGGAATTAGTTCATATTACATCAGTCTGTTTTCTGGAGAAGATACTCTGCAGATAACGTGATATGAGATATCCCCTGGGGGATCCTCTTCATCTAATAACCCTACCAAAGCTCTACTTTAATATGAAATATGAATCCAATATGTTTACAAACATACTAAAAAAAAGCATTTAAATGTCAATTGTTTGACAATTGTGGAGTCTTTTCATTTTTAACATAAAACTTTTATTTCCCAAAACCACACCCAAGGAAAATGATGAAGCGCAGCAAGTTTTTCACTACAGAAGACAGCAGGGAAGGCATCTGTTTTCCTGTTTTTTTCGGGTCTTCTCCCCTCCCCCACTCTCCATCCTGCAGGCCATTTGTAGGTCTTGGTTGTTAAAACCACTTTCTACAGTACTCTCATAATTCTCTAGATTCTAAAAAACTTACTCTTCAAAATTGCTGGGCCAAAATATATGCACTGCTCTTAAAAAGAAAACCCAGTCACAAGCCTATTTAATGACAGATGAATTACGGAAAACTTTCCCCACAAAGTTTTGATGCTGTGAAATATCAACTCCCTGAAATCACAGAAAGGAAATGACTTACATTCTTGGAAAATGAAGCCACTAGCAGCTTTCTCCAATAGCATTTTCTAATCCCCAAACTGCACCCTGTGGCAACAGGGAGTATTTCGTGCAAAAACTACATTTAAATAGATGCTTCTAAAACCAATAAACTAACATCACCGGGTCGTCGGGTTCCAGAGAAAAAGGAAAGGGATCCTGCATGGAAAATCCTACAAGAGATAACTTTTCTTCCACATTTAGAAGTGCAGGAGAGCACGAGCTTGAAATCAAACCAACCTGAGAACGCTTACTTAAGTTTTCCTTCCCCGCTGCGGGCAATGCATAGCTCCTGAGGGAAATACTGGCAAAACAGATTCGTTGCTATATATATATATATATACACACACACACACACACATATATATACATATACATACATATATACATATATACACACACATATATATACATATATATACATATATATACACACACATATATATATACATATATATACATATATATACACACACATATATATATACATATATATATACACATATGTATATATATGATGGAAAAGATTAAAAGAGCTAATATTTCTTTGGATATCAGCTACACAACTGCACGGCCTGAAAAAACTGCCAGCTTTCAACTTTAAAATATGCTTGTTTTGACAGCGCTTCGTCTATCCACGCCTTTAAGAAAGCGCCTCTCCATTAGGTCTCCCGTCCCGGGACACGAGGTGCGCTCTCTCCCTGGGGTGGGGACCGCCCCGGGGGCCCCCAGCAGTCCGCGCCTGACAGCTCCCGCCCCCGGGAGGGCAGCCCGCCCGCGCCTCCCGGGACCCCAAGTCCGCAGGCCGCGCCCCCCAACTCCCGCTGAGGCTCCCACCTCGGGCCCGCCAGCCTGGCACTTTCGGGGGGCCGCGGGGTGGCCGCTGCCTGGGTCCCTTTCGAAGCCGGCCGCCTGGCCTCGGAGGGCCGCGCCGGGAATGCGGGGCTCAGGTGCGGGTCCCAGGGACGGCGCGCGACAGGCGGGCGCCCACAGAGCGCGGCGCGGGACCGCAGCGGCGGCACCGGCCTCCCGCCTCGCCGCACAGCCGCCCGGGGCCGCGTCCTCCGACCCGCAGCAGGCGACCGGCGCGCCCAGAGCCCGACTCCCGGAGCCGCGGGGCCGAGCGGGAGAAGAAAGGCGTGGAGCGGCGAGCACAGCCTCCGCCCGGACACGCCACTCTACAGCCCTCCCGAAGCCCGTCCCGCGCCGCCCGGCCGGCAGGGGGCACCGCGGACAGCCGGGCGCGGAGCCCCGCAGAGGAGGCCCCAGGCGCCGGCTTCCCGCTCGTACCTCGAGAAAATCCCGAGCACCAGCGTCCGAGGTCGTTCAGCCTCTCCCTCTTCCTGCCGGCGCCGAAGCTGCCCGCTCCTCTCAGCCCCCGGCCCGGGAGCCAGAAGAGCGCTACAGCCCGCGTGGCCCGCCCCGCGCCGCGCCCCGCCTCCCGGCCCGCCCCCGAGGGCCCGCCCCGGCCCGCCCACGAGTTCCGCCCCCCGGCGCCCCGCCCGCGGCCTGCGAGGTTTGGCGACCGTCTCCGAGCCGCGGAAGCCCGTCGCCCCGCCCCCCCGCCTCACGTGGAGCTTCGGCCAGCCCCGCCCCAACCAAGCGTCCCGCAGCGCGGGGGGGTGCGGTGTGCCGGGGGCCGGAGGACCCCGAGGGAGCCACTCCTTTCAGGTCGGGGAGAGGGGTTCGGGCCTCTGATGGATGTTACTGTGTGAACCAAGGCGACGCAGGCCTTTTCCCCTGCGACAGAGACTGGGCCAGGCGGGAGGACACTGTCGGCCTCCCCCCTCTGGCCCAGTATTTCTCTCCGCCGCGCGATCTCGCTCTCCCTGAAGCTAGCCCACCAGGCGGAGTGGAGCGGCCGGGGCTGGCTGCTTGGCCTTAACCTCGATTTACTAATTCGGGACCCGCAGAGTGGAGGCCTCGCGGCGAGGAGGCGGTCCCCGCAGGGGAAGCTTCGTGACTTCTTGTCTTCCGCCATCCTCCGGTGCCGCACCCTCCCGCCTGCCCGCCTGTGGGGCCGCGGCGCCCCCGCAGGTGGGGTGCGGGGTGGAGGGGCGCCCGGAGGAGGCGGAGTCTCGCGGCCAGTTCGGCCCCTCCTGTTCTCCAGGTGGATGCAGCCTCCGGGTGCCAGGCTTTGACAGCTGGGTGAGGAGAGGGGACTCGGGAAAGGACGTGACCCCGCACCTGGATGAGGCTAACAGGAGCCAGCTTTACTGGCCCTCCTTTTTTGATCCGAACTTAAATATCTAATGTTAGTTGTTCTTGGTTGAAAGCGCGGCTATCTGAATGCTTCGTTTACATAGCGAGAGAAATTCAATTTTGCGTTCATTACCCCGAAGCTCACTTGAAATAGTTACCTCACTCACAGCTCTTATATTTTGGGGACCAAGGCATTAGAACTGAATATTAGGATAATAGGAACGTGATCTTTGTCTTTTCACAATTGATCATAACCTCGGAGCTTATTTCTCATAAAGCTGAGCAGTTTCTTGAGACTTTACTCTTGGGGCGTAGAGCTATGATTCCATTATGGAAGGAAGAGCGAGAAGTATATTTCATCTACTGCCTTTTATTTTATTTTGTTCTTGAGACAGGGTCTCATTGTGTAGTTTAGGCTGGTCTTGAACTCAGTGTGTAGTTTAGGCTGCCCTGGAACTTACAGTGACCCTACTGCCTCAGCAACCTGAGTGCTGCCTTTTAAATTACTTGTACTTAATATACTAAAATATTGCTGGACTACAATATAGGCATCTAAAAGTGGAAGCTTACACTGCTTTCTCACTTTCTCACTGTAAATATTTTCTGAATCATAATGATCATATTAACAGTAAATTTCACAATAAGCATAAGACTTAAACTAGACATGGTAGTGCATACCTGTAATCCCAGTACTCAGGAGGCTGAGGCAGGAGGATTGCATAAATTTGCTTACGAAGCAAGACCTTGTCTCAAAAAAAAAAAAAGAAAAAGACAAATACATTTTTCACTAAGTACTATAAGTACTAAGTACTTTATACTTTTCAAGTTAGTTTTGCAAATTTTAATATAAGATTCTGAAAGTTTGGAAACAGCATTTCACTAAAGATAGAAAAGGAGACGAGAAAGGTTGTTTTAGATATTTCTTGTCACAAGAAAGGTCTTTCTGTGCTTATTACAATAATGCAATTGTATACCTATTTCAGTTATATTTTATGCTTTAGATGTGGGGATATAGTTTTATTTTCAGTGGTATGATAAGTTTTTCTAAATATGGGGCATTGCCCACCACTAGACCATCATGCTAAAATTAGGATGTTAGGAATATTCTAATTTAAGATGTTAAGAACAACATCTTAAATTATTATTCCTTCCAAGGCACTTTGTATTTTTGCCTTTCTTAGGAAGAAGTTATTCCTTCCATGGATGTATTGAGTATTTCCATACAATACAGTGTTTACAGGGTTAGACACTGGGATTCAAGGATAAAAATACTCCTGAATCTTATAGTAGATTGGGGGAATAAGGACAAAAATAAACAGTTGAAACATCTTTACTGCCTGCTATGGTAGAGATACGCAGGAGCAGGGACAGAAAAGCCTGAGCCAGTCGGGGAGGTTATCCAGCATCCCCTGTGACTGGAGATGGGATGGATGAGCAGAAGTTTGCCTAGCAACAAGTTCACTGCAGTTACTCTCAAATGTGTCACCATATTGGAGTCACCCAGGGACTTTCAAAAACTAGTGATGCCTGCATCCCAGGCAGGTACTTTTAAGTGTAGACATATCTGGAGTTAGGGACTAAAGTATCTCAGGTAAAGAGCACAGAATGAAGCAGCACAGAGAAGCATCCTTGGAAAGTAGGATGTCCACGTATCTTACCTTTGTGATGAAAAAGGCCTAAGCATTGGTGGGTGACATTTATGCATTTTGAGGTAAGGAAAACAATTACATAGAAAACAAGACATAGGAACTACTATAATTTACATTTCTTTACAAGAAATATTGACAAGATTAGTTCAGTATACAAGGAGAAAAAAAGGTATTTTATCTCATATAATTCAGGGTTTTTGGGGATTCAGAGTATGTTTTAATGCTGAAATAAAAGGTCTAGTCTAACAACTCAGTAATTTGAAGTACTGGCTTTTAAAGAATACTTTTTCAAAATTAAATACTGTTCATCATTCTGGCTGAAGGTCATAATAAAGAAATTAGGTTCATTTTTCTTTTTGGTAATTACTGAGATTCATTTGAGAAAATAAAATGCATTTTAAACAACCAAAATAAATTTAATTACATTCCACTCTACAGTTTTAAATGCCCATGTAGCTGAAAAAAGACAAAATAATCACTCGTGGAACTTATGTAGAGTAGTGCTCTAGCCCTGCTTTTCACTGCCTAACATTAAAAATGTCATTATTTTCAGCTATTAATGTGTTCTGTAAAATAAAAACACCAAAAGAATTTAGTGAACAAGTCCAGCAAAATGATCTTCAGTTATTTAAGCCAACTACCTAATGATCAAGAGCACCTAACAGATACAAATGTGGATAGTCCCCAATTTATGATGGTTTGACTATGAACTTTTTGACTTTACCATGGTACAAAAGTGATCCACATTCAATAGCAACTGCACTTCAAATTCTGAATTTTGATCTTTTCCTGGGCTGGTGATAATGCCTAACATACTCTCTCTCGGTGCTGAGCAGTAACACCCTACAGCAGTGGTGGCAAACCTGTGCCGCAGCAGGCACACACAGCCCTCTCTGTCGGCATGGGAGCCAAGTGTTTGAGTTGTTTTTTCTAAACTAAAACCTCAGTATTCAGGTTAAATTACAGTGCTGGCACTTTGCGATAAATAAGTGGGTTTGGGGTTGTAGGTTGGGCACTCAGTCTTTTAAAATATTTGCCATTACTGCCCTGTAGCATACTTTAACTATACATGACTTACATACTATATGTACTGCAACTTACATGAGATATTCAACACTTTAATATAAAAGAGGCTTTATGTTAGGTGATTTTGTCCAGCTAAGGTAGATCAAGCTGAGGTTTGGTGCTCAGTAAGTTAAGTGTATTAAATGCATCTTCAATTTACAGTATTTCCAACTTAGAAAGGCTTTGTTGGATTGTAACTCGGGTGTAAGTGGAGGAGTAGTTGTAATTATTTTGCAGAAGCAGCACAGCACAGGTGCTAATATTATGTAGCAGTCTAACTCAGGAAGATTCACCTTTCCCCAATTTACAGATACAAAATTGAAAAGATTAAATTCTGTTCTCTTGTTCATTGACTGTCGAGAACATATCTGAAAGTAAGACAGTTTGACTGTCCAGGGACAAAGTTTGATTTTATATAGCGTGTAAAAGTTTACAGGACACATATCTGAAGAGTTACTTTTGCTTCCATTCTATATAGTTTTAGTTTCACCATAACACATCATACTCTCTCCAGTTCTTCAAGGGCAAATGAAAGCTTTGCTGAGGCTAGGAGAGGTGGGCCCAGCCTTTCATTCTAGCAAAGATGTCAGAAGCACAAAGTGCAGTAGGGCAACCCAGCAGAGACAACTGCACTTGAGAATCGGAGTTGGAAGGCACAGTAGCAGAGGCAGTGTGAGCTGAGGATACTGCTGCTAACTAAAATATGGTTGAGCAATTCCATCTGGGACTGGGACTGGGACTGCTGCTCTGTGCATGCAGCTGTACGTTATGCAGAAGACTGAGGCTGGGAGAAGGACTCTAGTACAGAAAAATGTCTAGTAGAAGTGCAAGACGAAGGGTAGATTTTCTACTACATAAAACTTCCTAATGTATGCCATTTGTATTTCTACAGTGGTCTCAAAGGCCCTAGAGTAGTCTTCAGCTCTGATTTCTTGATTTCTCTCTGAAAAGCTGAAAGAAAAGATATCCATCCCAGAGCTGGGAAGCAATTCCCTCCGCTCCAATTGGGAGAGAGATGAGAGAGGGAAAGAAGCAGGAACCTGACAACACACTGGTTACTCTGAGTTACACCTCAGGCATGCTCTGATTATTTTTATCAGAGATAGTCTTCTAGGAAGAGCTACTTTCAAACACAAATGATAACATAGGAAAGTGGTGGAACATTGGACTTGTCCTCAGCGTTTTCTGCCATCTTACTGATTGTGACTGAGAAGTTCTGAGCCTAGAACAGTGGGGAATGGGAACATTCGTCTTTCAGAACTCAAGAACATGCCTTTCCAGCTGGGAATTCCTGGCTCTCTACCTAATACCAACAACAGTTCCATTTGTGAAGAGACTCCTGGAGTCTGTCCATTCTGTGCTACCTAGTTACCTTAAGTAGGTTGTAATCGTTACAAACACGCTTTTAAACTTGTTTCTTTGTTTAAAAAAAGAATGATGAGTAAAACTGGAACTAATATGTCCTAACTATGGTTCACTAAGCTCAAGGTCCCTGTG